GACTCTTCTCTCCTTGGACCTCTCTTGAAGCAAGGAAAAACATCCAAGGAAGAAGCGCATGGTGCTGTACGGCGCACGTTGCGGCTATGATTGACCTCCACGCGCCGCCAACGCCATGTATGTGTGATGCAGATCCTCTCAGCTTTCACCTGATCGAATACCATCAACAGGGAAGCCATACCCTCAAGCATGTTGGGCTGGCCTGATCAATTGCGATCCTCCCACTGACGGACCGTCTCAAATATCTCGTCCCACACTTGCTTGAACGCTCCGAATTCTCCTGTCGCAAGATTGATCCCAACTCCTTCAAACATGTGATTAGGCTTGTTGTTCACCTTGCAAGTCAAGATGTAGTGACCTCGGTCCCAAGTCAGGTTGCCATCCTCCACACCTGCTGCCTTGGTGTAGTCTGGATGCTTGTGAATGGCGACCCAGATCACAGGTCTTCCCTCATTTTGTCCATCGTTTTCCTTCAGCACATTCGCAGCAACCCATCCAACTCGACCACACTCCGGGTTGTATGCAATCGCCGTCTTTCCCTTATCCGCCCATGCGAATACCAAGACCTCATCACCTGCGTGCACGATGAGATGCTTGGCGTTGCTACCGAGATAGTCGTCTGATGCTGTGTGTCTTAAAGGTGATTTCAGGATGACTGGGCCGTCACCAACAGGAGTCGTGCTTGACTCATGGTCAAAGCTTAGGCTGGAGAGGGCGAGCTTGATATCTTTGTTGAGACTATCGTTTGCTGAAGGTATTCGATTTGCAGCAAGGTCAACGTTATTCAAGCAGGCAAATCTTGCGGACTTACTGCTTTCAGGATGCCTATGTGCATCAAGATGCTGGACGAGGTATGAAACACTTCGGCTTGCAGCGCTTTGACCAAGCTGTTCTTGCTCAGGCTGGTTCGCCATGTTTGCTTTGTTTTGATGATTTTGAGATCTGCGTAACGGATGAGCAACAAAACTGATCGAAAATTTGTTGTGACGAATGTTTGCTACAAGACTTCACTGGACACGACCAACAAACCGCTTGGCAACACTGTATCAGGAGCCTTGCGCACCAGTGCAGGTCGGCTTTGATCTTGAATGCGCATCAGCTGACATTACATACCCAGATATAATTCATTCGATCCAAAATGTACGACCAGTCACTACTGTCTCATTTATCTGGAAACGAATCCACGTGGTGACTTTATACTGGTATTGGAAATGCCGGTCACAAGCTTCGAAACCAGATCTTCTGTGGACCACATGATATCGGACAAAGCATCCCTGTTGCACATGCGGAAGATAAATTTCGACAGTTCCTGCTGACTACTCTAGGTCTATCGTTGCGCAATCCGGTGGCAGTCCGGTACATGCCGGTTTCGCACGGTTGGTAGGCCGACTCAGGGCAGGCCAAGGTATCTGGTATGCTCCCAACCATGGAAAATTCACCAACGGGCAACTGCCGAGTGGACGATTGCTAAAAGTCAATCTGCCTATTACTCGTATAGTCTGTCTCTGACACAGCGTTCTGTGTGAGATGACCTCATCTCATCCCCAAAAATGCGGAGACGTTGAACCTGGGGTAAGACAAAGGGAGCTTTATATACTCCGCTTTTCGTGCCCTCGATTGTTCTACCTCGACTGAACTGACCGTGACCGTCGTTACTGCGCGAAAATGGTAGCCTCTCTGATCTTTCTCGCTGGTCTTGCGCTCGGAACAAGAGCCCAGAACAGCCCAGTGCCTGACCAAGCATTAGTGGTCGACCAGAAGAGCTTCAATGCATTGAGCACGGTTCCACCACCGTCACAATCTAACGTAACCACGGTCAGTCCCAACAACAGCAGATTCGACCTCGGCTGACAAGTGCAGATCTTCGTACCTCCAGGAATCACCCTGGACGAGGCTTTGGCCAAGCCATTCCACATCTACGACGATGCTTTCTACGACATAATAGGCTCAAATCCTACCTTAACTGTGATCGCTAGTCAAGGGATCGATCCGCTTTACCATGAGGCTGTCTCCTGGTAAGAGCCACAAATCTGTATCCGTTATTTTAACGCATTTCTAAGGAATTTTCAGGTATCCTCCCACGGACGAAGTATTCTTTGTGCAGAACGCTGGTGCGATGGCTGCAGGAACTGGATTGAACAAGTCCAGTGTCATCTTGAAGATCTCCCTGGCTCAAGCGGCTGCAGTCTCGACACAGAGGAATGCTAGTGGTCAAGTCAACGTGACCGTGGTTCCTGCCAATCCTCCGGTCATCAACCCCAATGGTCTGACACTCAAAATCTCGGTCTTGAACGAGATGGCTGACCATCAATCAGGAGCGACCAACTATCGGGGCCAGTTCGCCTTCACTGGTGAGGGCCAGGGCAACGATATAGGCCCGGCACTCTATGCGGTCAATCCAGTCGAGCCATATAACACCACTGGTATGCTTGTGCTGACGGGACGTGGGCCTATGCTTACGCCAGTTCAGTTCTTGTCAACAATTACTTCGGCCGCCAGTTTAACTCCCTCAATGATGTCTCGGTGAATCCACGCAACGGCGACGTCTATTTCACCGACACGTTGTACGGCTATTTGCAAGATTTCCGACCCTCGCCCGAGTTGCCAAACCAGGTCTACCGATATAATCCGTCTACTGGTGCAGTCACAGTTGTTGCCGATGGCTTTGACCTACCAAATGGTATGCATCATCCTTGAGTCCTCTCGCATTCCCCTGACACGTCCAGGCATCACATTTTCACCAAACGGCTCATACGCCTATGTGACTGACACAGGTGCCAATATCGGCGTGAGTACTCTTCTTTGGGAAGGACTGTGCCATTGAAACACAAGTCTTTCGGTTTGTCCCAAGTTTTACCGACACAACTTTCTGACGAGTTGTAGTTCACTGGTTACAACATGACAGCGCCAGCTTCGATGTAAGAATCCCTGGTGTTGACTTGCACAGACATGCTGACACTCCTCCTAGCTATCGCTTCACAGTCGAACAGGATGGCACATTCAGCAACCGCAAGCTCTTCACTTACGCTTCGCCGGGTATTCCAGATGGCATTCATTGCGATACCAATGGCAACGTGTACTCTGGCGTAGGCGATGGCGTTCACGTATGGAATCCGTCCGGCACTCTTCTCGGCAAGATCTTCTTGGGCACAACGTCGGCCAACTTCAACTTTGCTGGCAAGGGTCGGATGGTCATTTGTGCAGAGACACAACTTTACTATGCGACTCTAGCCGCGGAGGGATACGTGGCTTCGAGCCAGTTGCCACCAACGTAAGCTACAGCGGTCACTGAACGGCCTCGAGACTGATACCTGGTCACCGAATGGCATTGTGCCGACAGGATCTCATGAACCAATATTCCAAGATTCGATGTGGCTTCCTGCTACCAATGAGAACGGGAGATAATATGGAAGTATGAAGGGATAATGCAGTAAAGCGACTTTGATGGAGCCATTCTTTCATAGCTCTAGTGTCAACCTCTTGCCATGAATGATGATGCTCTTACACTTCCAACTTCTGAGATAGTCTCCATGGACGGACCTAAAATCTGAACATTGTTGGTGAAAAAGGGGGCAGCCATTATGTTCAGCCTTGTTATGGACGTAAGGAGCGTCATTTGAAAGATCGCCATACGGCGGAGTATACTTGTTTGAAATGACAATCCTCAAGCGGTCTTCGACAATGTCCGCCACATTCTTGCTTTACTACACATCGCTTGATGGCAGAACAACAACAAGAAAATGACATAATACCAAGCACTCCAGAGCCCTCGGGCTCTCCTACTGCACCCGCTGCACTCAAAGACAATGAGCGCCCGACCTCCGACAACTGCGCGATATGCCTCGACGATATCTCCGAGCGAGCGCAGGCCCTCCCTTGTCGTCATTACCAGTTCGATTTTCCTTGCCTAGGGACATGGCTGCAACAGTCGCGACTCTGTCCTCTATGTAAGGCCCAAATCAGGGCCATCAGATATAATATTGGCGGCAAAGGAGGGAGTCGGATCTTTTCTCTGCCTGAACCAGAGCCCACCTCGACCGGCAGACATACATCCCACGCCTCATCAGCTTCTTCTAGGTACCGGCGATCAAGGCAAGGTCGATCATATGCAAGAGGGGGGCGCCACACGTCGTCTGGGAGCGCGAGCACTGTAGGCTCCACAGACACATCCCTCGATTTCCGCAGGCACGTCTATCGGCACAAATTGTACTCTCTCCGCGTTGGAACGAACCGCATCTCCCGATATCGAGAACTGACGCCCGAGTCATTCGTCAAGGATGAGCGCCTGACGTCCCGAGCCAGGATGTGGATTCGTCGTGAACTGCAAGTCTTCGATTTCTTGAACAGCGGATCAGCGCCATCGTCGAGTCGAGAGGTGTCAGACCGGCGAGCGAGCAATGCCGACTTTCTCCTCGAATACATCGTCTCGATCCTGAAATCGATCGACTTGAAAGGAAGCACGGGGCAAGCCGAGGAATTGTTGAAGGATTTTTTAGGAAGAGACAACGCCGGGCTATTCCTGCATGAGCTGGAAGCATGGCTGCGTAGCCCGTACGAACATCTCAGAGATTGGGACCGCGCAGTGCAATACGCCATCCCGGCTGATGTAGAGCAGGAGACGGGTCGGTCTGGTGCTGTCTGTGGGAACAACGAAATCTGCTCTCCTCGAAGTGAATCCTCGACAACAGTTCCTCGGTGGTTCTCGGAGGGATTCGTGCTTAGAGATGGTAATGGATGAAACGCCTGGGAGAAGACAAGCATCAAACCTTACGCGCATCTGTCAGTGAGTGGACGTCGGATGTGGTCTTCAAAGTCATACTGCTCCAAATTATAAGGTACATTCGCAACCAGATACCAAAGCCTCAAAAGTGGCCAGTCGTCCCTCCAGCGATACTGGCATGCCCTAAAAACCCCCTTTCGAGATTTAACGTTCTTCTGGAGCAGGCAGAAATTACGATCTACTTGTGTTAGACACGATGAATTTCATGCAAAATCATCAAGGATTGTTAGCTCAGTGGTTAGAGCGACAGGGGATTATAGGAGCCGGCCTGACCCATTCAGATTGAATGGCGAAGTCCCGGCTCCTAGCCTGCAGGCCGTAGGTTCGATTCCTACACAATCCAATGTTTACAATTTTTTTGGTCTCATTAGCAGTTCAGTCATTTATCGTACTTGTGGCCAGGGATGTTCGAGTTTTGCCACACGTATACCACTTTCAACGACTCTCACGCCCGTCCAGTACTCTCACATCGAGGGCAAAAAAGCAAAAACTTTTCCACCGAGCAAATCGAACTTATGTTCATTTGGTCAGTGGTAAGTGAAACCCCGTATGAGGTTTTTTCGCGATACTACGAGGCTACGGTTCTACGAAGACAATCCATCATCCGAAGCACCCATTAACTGTGAAACCAACTCTTAGAGTGGCCAAGAAGCGGATGGCTTTCGTCTGGATTGTTGGACAAAAACCCGGGAGTTTGGTATATGAAGGGGTAGCCAAGTCGGCTGGTGGTCGTTGATTATATCACCTGCGTTGGGACAGGGAGGGCTCCCTCACATAAGTACATTGGCTGAGGGGAGTTGAGGCAGTGTGGCATACGTTCAGCCAGGCGTCCACTTATGATTTGTGATGGCTATTGGGCGGTGGGACAGAGACTACATACCTGGGTATATGCCTCATCCTCACTCGAGACACGGTCGTTTGCCTGTACCATGAGGCTGACATGACAGGACTTCAGCCTCCAAGTATCGGTGTTGTTGACGTTAAGCAGTATGGTGTTAAGTCCATGCATCTTAAGACTAGCATTGTATTATACTCAGATCAATGGGGCGCCTGACATGACACGGCAGCCTTACCCCTGACAGACTTCAAGAATACCATATCCTCTTCCACCACTCCAACTCTCCATTTTCCACCTTGATGCATACCTGAGTACATTTTCACCTCCATTTTCCTTTTCCCAGCCTGTATTATTTCACCTTCAAAATCGCCTTTCCGAAATTATCACCTTTGAGCATTCCCACAAACGCCTCCCCAGCATGCTCCATGCCAGTCGTCTCGTGGATCTTGGCCTTGAAACTGCCATCCTTCAACCACTTCTTGACATTCTCCTGGTGGTCCTTAGCATGCCTGGGCCCCATGTTCGCGTCGGCGACCATGAATCCAGTCATGGTCAAACGTTTCGCGACAGTCTGGAAGAGATTGCTGATGCCATATCGTTGGTCCGGCGGGAGATTGTACTGGCTGATCTGGCCGCATTCGACGATCCTGTCAGGAGTTGGTCAGCAAGTTCATTCACCCATAGCACCTCACATTCACCACCTCCCGAAAAGGAAATGCCTTTGGTGTACAAGGGAAACTCACCGTCCAAACAGATTCAAGCTCTCAATCGCGCCTTCAAGCTGCTCGCCACCCACATTATCATAGAAGATATCGATCCCCTTCCCATCCGTCAATCGTTCAATAGCGTCCTTGGTGCTCTTTTCCTTCTTATAATTCCACCCACCGTCGAACCCCAACTCCTTCGTGATGAACTCCAACTTATCATCACTGCCCACGGACCCAAGCACCTTCAATCCCTCATGCTTGGCCAGTTGACCAACAAGTTGTCCGACCGCACCTGCCGCACTCGAGACGACAATCGTCTCGCCCTTCTTGGGCTTTCCAATCTCATAAAGCGAGCTATACGCTGTCAGACCCGGCATGCCCAGCGCACCAAGGTAGTGCCGGATATCATCGAGGCCTTTGGTATCGATCTTGGTCGGCTTGTCCTGATCGCTTTTAGAGACGCAAACGTTATACTCCTGTATGGGCAGCATGTGGCGAACGATTTCGCCCTCCTCAAACCCGGCCAGTTTTGATTTGAGCACTTTAGACAGCGATGCTGCAGAGATGGGCGTGCCGACAGGAATTGCAGGCATGTAGCTCTTCACGCTGGGGTCGCGGAGGAGACCACGTAAGTACGGATCCAATGAGACGTATAGAGTCTCTAGAATCAATCCGTTCTCTGGCGCGGGTTGGGACAGGTCGAAGCGGACGTCCTTGACGGCGATGTGTTCACCTGGCACGGGCATACCCGTCGGGATTTTGGTGAAGACCAGGGCTTGGTTTCTCGTCGACATCTTGGCTGTTTGGTGTCTGTCCTGTACAACAAGGTAGGGTCGGGTGCTTGCGTTTTGTCAATTGAAGGTATGTAACCCCTGGTCTGCTGCAGTGGAAATCTATCCGAACGAGTATTGTAGAACTGGCGAACCACGATGATAACAAGAATACGGTAGAATTCAAGAAGTTTTCTTACAAGACACAACTGCTTTTTTATGATAGCAAAACTTTGACTGCTGGTGAAAGGAAAATGGTGGATTTGTAAGTCAATCTCATTGAATACATACAGCATATGGATACCCATGGATACACAATATATCGGTGGTAACCCGGAAATACGTTCAATGATTGCTCCATAGAAGCCGCTGGACGTATCGGCACATGGGTTGGTGATGTATGTTTGATGCAAGCCTCGGACATGATACCTGACTCGTCCTCCGGGACTCGTTTCCGGCGGAGTCGAAGTTTTTCGTTGTTGGAGTTCTCTTTCTTGCGTCATAGAAAAAGTGGTTGGAGGGTATGCTGCATAGAACGAACCTATTGTCCGCAGGAGATAACTCCTCCATTAGTCATCCTTGTAAGATCTCATTATCGTGAACACGAAGGTAAGCCTACACAAACTTACCTGATGAGTTTACAAAGACCTCCAAAAAGGGAACGAGAAAGGGTTCGCATGTCAACTCGAAGCCATGGAAGTGGCTAGCTTCACGAACAGATCCAGCAAAGAGTACAGCCTCAAGTGAGACCCGTATCGTTCACGAAGGGCTGATGTAAGATCCCATAGATGTTTTCGCAATTCTTTCCGGAGAATGATGCACTGTACAATACAAAAAAGTCTCTTGCACCTGCCTCGACCCTTATCCTTGTTCTTTCATATCACAACAGACACCCGTCTATACCGCATTGCGGCTCATATCGTTCCTTATTCTGTTGTAATCGAGGAGACCTTCGATCGAACCAACTGCAGACACTGCAACATCCTGATCCCACAACTTCTTCTGAGCAAACCGCATCACATCTTTCTCGGTAATGGCACTAATCGTTCTCTCAATCTCGGCGGGATCCATTCTTCGGCCCGTCGTGACAATCTGTCGGCCAATATCCTCGGCCACGGCAGTGGTGCCATCAAGTGAGAGAAGGATGGATGCTTTCAATTGAGCCTTGGCCCGCTCGGTTTCAGCTTCGGTAACGGCGAATGTTAGTCTGGTCCACTCGCGGAGTGTGAAGTGCACGAGATCGTCGATGTTGGTGATGTTCTCGGTGACAAGGTAGATACCCCATAGACTGAAAACGTGTTAGCAGATATTCAGCTCGTACTCTGTTTGCAAACTTACCCAGTGTCACTGTAGCTTGTAGAGAAGCTCATGAAGCTGTTGGCAAGGTTGTTGGCATGAACGAAACTGCTGAGCTTGCTTCCAAGATATGGCGAGTTGCCCATAGCACGATCCCAGTTGCCCACAATAGCCTGGGTAACTAGGGCGGTGAAGTAGTCGTCGTCCCTCCAGCTGACACCCTCAACGGCAATAGCAATGTGTGCGGATGGGATAGTGTCGTCCCGTATTCTGACCTCGGAGCCGACAAAGTTGGGCTTTAGCTGTTGCTGTTCAGCAACCTGGGCCGAATACGAAGTTGGAGGAGGTGCAGATCTCAATCCGGAAAAGTGCTGCTCAGCTAGTTTGACAAGTTCCTCATGAGGAATACCTCCAGCACCAACAAGTACCATGCGGTCCGCGGTGTAGTTCGTCTTGATATAGTTGACCAGGTCATCGCGCGAAATCTGTTCAATGTTCTCCTTCGGTCCAAGAATAGTCCGTCCGAGGGGCTGGTTCATATAGGCAGTAGCATGAAGATGATCGAAGACCACCTCTTCCAGTTGCTTGTCAACTTCCTCTTGCTCGCGCAAAATCACATCTCGTTCTCGTTCGACTGCCGCGGGATCAAGTTTGGAGTTCTGGAGGATGTCGGAGAGGATGTCGACGGTCTTTGGCACATCGGAGTTGAAGGATTTTGCGTAGTAAACAGTGTTTTCACGCTTTGTGGCTAGTCAGCATTGCCATGGAAGCTGGTAGACGAAGCGCTCATACCGAGGTGTATGCGTTGAGGTGTCCACCCATATTCTCGATTTCGAGCTCGAGTTGGTGCTGGCTGCGCTTGCCGGTACCCTGTATGATCTCAGCTGAGTCCTCTGTGTGATAGCCTGTGTCCATTTCCTACCTTGAAGGCCAAATGTTCAAGGAAGTGAGCTGTTCCATTTGTCTTTTCTGTTTCTGCTCGGCTGCCGGCATCGATCCAAACACCCACGGTCGAGGTCTGAGCCCATGGCGAATGTTCCGTCGCAATCTGCAAGCCGTCAGCACACCGATAAACCTGTGGCATCAATGGATTGTCGTACTGTCAGACCGTTCGAAAGGGTAGTGCTCTCTGTTCTCGAAGGTGTGACGGGGTTGGCATAGCCTCTGAGTAAAGGAGATTTAATGGCATTGATCGCTTGTCGGCTTCGAAGGGAACGCTGAAAGTTCAGCGCCAGCCGTTGAGACGCCATTACGAAGGTTGAACAGAGGCGCAAAGACGAACGAAGCTGTTGACGATGAAGATCGAGCTTGAACCGCAGGTACTTTCTTCGAGAGCTTGAAAACCGCGCTAAATGCCTCGCCAAGAGAAGCAATAGCAGCAACTTTCTACAAAGCAGAAAACGCCGACGTATGATTGGTCCAATCTCATTATTACTACCACTACTATTGACTTCGTATCATTCATTTCCTGGTATCTGTCCTTCATGTCTGGTCTAGAAGACTCGTATAATTATCTTTATCTGATAGGGCTCCTTCAAGCTGTAAAATTCCACATCGAATCATTCATACCCACCGTCGTGCCCTCAAAGTCAAAGAATGGCATACCCAAACCCAGAGCAGGGTCGTTAAAGTCAAACGCAGTAGGACTCAAAGACCCATAATCAGGCAGCGCAGATTGTCCATCGAGGTCGGTTCTCTCATCAAGGACTGCTTGACTCACTGAAGACGTCAA